CTGAGAGATTAGACTGACATATTTTGATATTGACAAAGTCGCCACGCACCTCACAGTTGACGGGTACGTCACCTACCATTGAAAGAATTTATCAAGTCTAGGACTTGCACCCGAGTGGGCATGTTCCACCACAAAGAACCTAACTAGTTGAGCTACATTTACTTCGTAATAATGTTAGATATTAAAACAACCATAATATTTAAGCTACATTTCTGGAATACTCCTATGACTTTTAAACCAGTGGAACTATTATTTCTAACCGTTATATCTATCTTATATAAGAAAAGAAAGCGTGTATTCATGGTACATCACATTTTAAAAGTACTATTGCGCAATTATATTTTGTCGTTATTGTATTCACGTTAGCTTGCATGGAACCTCTGACCCACTCTACATGAAATGTTCATAGATGGACTGGCTGTCAAACTACATCTATCATATTAGGCTATATAAACCCATACATTTAGTGGAGGTTCATGTCCCACCCAATTCATTCTCGAATAAACCATGATAATATATATGCAATTAAAAAAATGCCTTACTTTTACTTTACACTTACTTTTCGTTGACATGTTTTCTAAAGAAAATAAGTCTACCTTCTTTTCAAATGATGAAAAAGATTATAAATAATTGTTTATAGATAGTATTACTTAAATATGATACAATATAAAGCTAATAGGTTAAAAATTATAAAAACAATTAATGCCGACTAAAGCAATTTACGGAGAAATCGTGATAGATGTTCTTCGGTTAATATTTCGCTCTTACAAGTGTTACAAGTGTCTCAAACTTAGTGTACGACGCATGCCCGCGTATTCACATGGGCTACCTTCCTAGTTTTAATTGAAAGGAAGGCAAAATTGTTGATTTCAGTTATGTTGGGAATAATTAATTATCCTAGTTGCATTGAATTCAATAACACCTCAATTCTTACCGCTTTCCAAAGTGATCCACAGTAGCACTATTACATAGCATGCTTACTCATAATAATGAAAAAAATATCATTGTTTTCCTTTTATAAATAGGTTTACTAGATAACCTCAAAACGGTAGATCATACTTCTGAAATCCTATCTTACAGTAAAGTTATAACACACTAACATACAAAGATGTTACATCATCATCCACTAACAATCAATACATTTAATATCATGCAAACATGCTATATTATCTATAATTTAAAATTTATTATATTTTAGATATTTTAAAATGAAAGCATGTTAAATCATCATCCCAATAGTACTATAAAGTTATAACCCACTAACTCTTAAAGCTTAACATGCAAAGATGCCACATTATCATCCACTAACAAGTTGACACATCATCATCCACTAACAATCAATACATTTAATATCATGCAAATACGTTATATTATCTATAATTTAAAATTTATTATATTTTAGAGCTTTTAAAATGAAAGCATGTTAAATCATCATCCCACAAAATTCATATAATATTTCAATATATATCTTCATTATTTTCTTATAATATCTTATGTACCTATGTAGTTCATCATCACTTGGTTAATGTTATTTCTCTCTTCTCTAATTAAGTCATATTACATCAATTGTTTCCAGTGCTTATGTAAGTTTATATTGTTTAGCTATGCTACATATTATTTTTATTTATTGTTATCATACTGAACTCCCGCAGCAACGAGTGGGGTTTCACCTGGTATCTCTTGACGCGAAAAACACGCACTGGCCTGAGAGATCTGCTACTCTAGTGCAACAAATTTGGTCGTTAACATTATCACAGAAAGGAAATCACACATACATTAATGTTAGCATGTAACTGCTAGATAAGAGCAGGCACAATAGCAGACTGTAAGCCAGATATAAACATATTTTAAGGAGATAAAAGATGAGATATAAGAGTAGCGGACTACAGATTAATAGCCAGCTGCAGCATGGACTCTAAGACACATATGTGTATAACAGGTGGGACCAGATATTGATTGTGTAGTATATGTTTATATGTAACTATTATATGAATTGGCTATTAAGTTGACTATAGATGATTTAGAGCCAACAATTGGCTATAACTCTAAGAGCAAGTATAACAGGAGGGTGTAAGTCGGTTAAATGTTGAGGTGGAGGATAGAAGAGAGGAGAGAGAGGAGAAGCGGGCTGTAAACTTACGGTCAACTTGGACACAAGAACCAAGAAATTTTGTGAGTATTAATTGTAAGTAGCTAAATATTATATGTGTGGGCTAAAAAAAGGCTAAAAAATTCTCATAGCCAATAAGTCAGTTGTATTATTAGCATTGCTTTAATGAATAGCTATACAGTATCGTTGCGTCAAATTCAACTCAGATTTATTACTATCATCTAGAAGACGATGACTTGATTGAATATCACGCTTGCGAACGTGGATGTGTTGTTTTGTGCTGAGTAAAAACAGAATGGGCTTGTTTGGTAGCCAGGCTACAGCGGCACACTGCTGCTGATTTTGTGAGTGAAATACTACCCCACACCCACAACCCAACCAGCCGAACAGGCTCAATACTAAATAGATACTCCCTCCATTTCACAATGTAAAGTCATTCTAGCATTTCCCACATTCATAATAATACTAACGAATCTAGACATATATATATCTATCTAAATTCACTAACATCAATATGAATGTGGAAAATGTTAGAATAACTTATATCATGAAACGGAGGAAGTATAAACGATTGGTGATATAAATATTTGAAGGTACAAACGAATAAAGTGGTTTTAATCCTACGTGGTATACACGTGGCGTTGACGTGAAAATCCAATCAGCCAGAAAAATTAAAAAATATAGGGCCCACATGTCATATTAAATCACTCTATCCTCTTTCTTCTCTCTGTGGTGGGTGGTGAGCGGCAGTGAGCGTGGCTCCGACCGACGGCGAAACAGCGGTGGGACGACGGTGGCGGCGCGGCGCCATTTGCCGCCCAAGCGAGCTTCGCCTCCCCTGTCGCTCTCGTCAGGGCGGGACGAGGCTGTGGCAACAGCAGTGGAAGCGGCGCACGAGGTCCTGCGGGCGCACGGGTAGCGGGATCCTTCTTCCCCCTCGCTGTCTTCGAGGCCCCGCTGCCCTGCACAAGAGACGGGGTTGGGAGACGGTGGAGCTTGCTTGGGTGCCGGCGGGCGGCGGCAGAGACGAAGGTCGCTCGGGCAGCTGCCAGATGAAAAGTGGTAGCTCGAGTGGCTGACGGGGCAGATGGGGAAGGGGAAGGGGGCCGATGGCTCTGCGCAGGGAAGGGGAAGGGAGCGGCCGCCGCAGTGTCGGCGTGTCCGAGCTCCGCACCGCCGCGATGGTGGGGAAGGAGGATCCTGCTGCCGTCGCCACCGCCGCTTTGTTCCACATCCCGTCAACGCCGCCTCGGTCCACGTCTCGCCGGCGCCGTTGCCTCGCTCCACGTCCTGCCGCCTCGCTCACGTCCCGCCGTCTTTGCTGCCACCTCGCTCACATCCCGCCGTCGTCGCCGCCACCCCTCGCTCCATGTCCCGTCGCCACCGCCCACCACTAGCTCCCACGCGGCACCGTGCGCGCCGACCGCCCGCCGCCGCTCGACCTACGCCCAATGGCCCGAGAGAGAGTATATGACAAGTGGGCCGGCCCCACTATAAAAAAAGAAAATGCTGACTGGATTGCCACGTGTATGCCATGTAGGACAAAACCGCTCTGGATTGGGTCGAGAGGGGGTAATTTGTCTGGTATTGAAAGTTCAGGGTAAACGATGTCCGGTTTCGTGGTTCGTTGGGGGGGGGGAGGGAGGGAGGGAGGGGGAAATTCAGATAGTTTAGGGGAGTAATTCGTACCTTTTCCTATTATTAAATAAATTATGTATAGAAAGTTTTTTTCTGAAAGCCACGCCGTTTAGACTTTAGAGGCTCGGAAACCTTGCCGCTATTCCATTGTGCAGAAATGAACATGTGTTTTGGGTACGAGAGAGTCTCATACCACAATGCGCCGCACGTTTCACGGGAGCCCAAACAGCTATTTATGAAAGAACAGTGCGAAACTCCTCCACACTGCGGCGTGACTTTAGGTGGACCCCACCAAACTTTTTCTCATGCGGGCCCCACCACAAAAAATTCCAATCTCATCATCTCCACCCCGAAACCTCTTCCACCACCGCTCATTCTTCCCCTTTCTCTCCCTCTCCTTCACTAGTAGGCTCCCATGCGCCTCAACTCCCCCGCCCCTTCCTCTCCTTCCACCGGTGGCGCGGTTTGCAAGAAGACACGGTGGCGGCGGCGGCGCACGGTGGCCTCAGTGGTGGCGCTCCTTCTTTCCCCTTTCTCTCTCCCTCTCCCATGGCGGCACGGTGGCCTCGGTGACGGAGGCCTCGAGGTGGCGGCAGTGAGGAGCAAGCCGAGGCCGGTGCTCCGTCGCCGCTTCGCCCTGGGCCTCGCCGGGGTTGCGCGGAGCTCGCCGGCGTGGAGCGGACAATGTGGATCTGGCGGTGCATGTGGGCAGTGACCGGCGGTGGAGTGGACTCGAGGAGGCCGCCGTCAAGCTGCTGCTTCGGACTGGCCGAGGCGGCTTTGGAGCGGAGGACGACGACACGGTTGACGGCGCGGAACAGGGATAACAACGAGATTAGGAGCCAGATCCGCCGCCGTCTCCTCTTCTACCACCACCGCCATCTTCCTTTCTCCCTAGGCAGCCGACGCCACGCCGTTGATGTCGCCAAATCCGGCCAGCTTTGTTTTGGGGGTGAAGCACGGGGTCACGCCCTGTCCCAACGCGCCGTGCGCCCCGTTTCTCGCCTCGCTCTGACATATGCCTACCAAAACTGATGAAGAACGCGTGCCCAACTTTGGCTACGCGGGCTTCAGGTTGGATGCACCAGATGCATCCGTGGCATGGAATCTCCAACGTGGCCGGTCGGGGCAGAACGCCACGGGCGATGCACTGTGAAGGTCTAACATCGTCACCATGTGTGATAAATTAGTACCGCAGGGGCTTTTCTGATAAAACAAATCTTAGCCGTATCTGCTTTACGTGTTCCTGATTCGAAGGCGTATTTCGTCGTCGTCAGAAACAGACCGCACAACCCGACGGCGCAGACGCCACGCCGGGGGGCGCCGCCGCCGCCGCCGCCGCCGCCAACGCGACGAACCGCGGGTACAAGAAGGCAGGGAAGCCGAGACGAGGGGCTCCAATGGCGCTCCGCCGCGTGCTCCTCTTCGTCAAGCCCTTCGACGTCTACCCTCCCCGCCCGCTCGCCGCCGCCGCCTCCTCGCCTCCGCCCCCGCCGCCGCCGCTGCGTGTATCCAATCCCAAGGTCACAGCTCTCTCTCTCTCTCTCTCTCTCTCCGTTTCGAGTACCGGGTGGGGTGCCTCCCCCCATGTTCTCACTGCTCCGGCGGGGTAAACGGTAGAGGAGTTCGTCGCGCAGGAAATGCGAGCTCCCGTGACGGTGTTAGCGAAATGAATGGCGGGATGCAACGCTTGTTGTTTTCAGGAATCGTGCTTTGCTCTGATCCATGGTGGGTGCGCGCGTTTCTGATCAAAACTGAAAGAGTCAAGAGGTGTCCGTTTGATTTTCTTTTTCTCTTCTTCTTTTGTCATCGTTTTGGTTCAAATGGACCATGTTGCATGTTCTTTGAGGTGATGGAGCAGCAGAAATAGTCTAAGATGGGGGAGTTCTGGTTTTGTTCCTTCTTCTGTGGGTGGCTATCTTCATCTTAATCGCACTTCTTTTGAACTTTCGTGGTGCTATCATGAAGCACACCATCTGTTTGTTGAAATGCGTGTGTCTGAACTATGGTTATTGTCTCTGCCCAGTGTTCCTGATATGATACAGGTGGAACCAGGAAGTCTTATTGGTCTTGTCTATTTAGATGTTAGTCAGTAAAGGGACTACTTCTGGTTGTTTAGTAATTCTAATTAAGTATAATCAAGGGTGTGGCTTTCCTTATTGTGAACTGAATAGTAGACAATGTGGCTGGGAGGTATTGCATATCTAGCTGAGTGTAGGAGTTCTCTACCCTGCTTTTCTTGCTTGCACAACTAGTTATTATGATATGAATTTTGCGGTACTCATGCCTCTCATGATCATTTTGCAATATTCTTACAGGTCTTGAATTATCTGGATGATAGGTGCAGAGTTCACAAGGAAACAATCAATCTCTGCAAAAGCGTACTGCAGCGTAAATCCATTGACTGGATTTCAGTGCAGCGAAATGATATGTCTAATCCAATACATGATGTGGATCTTGTGATTTCTGTTGGTGGTGATGGCACTCTTCTACGGGCTAGCCATTTTTTGAATAGCTCAATTCCCGTTTTAGGTGTTAATTCAGACCCTACTTGTCCTGATGAGGTTAGTTCTTCAGATTATTGTCAAGAACCATATGATCCATGTTTGTCAAGTTGCTTTTGGCATGCTTCCAAGCAGACTGATGCTTACCTGTATGCTTGGTTAGGTTTATATATAGATTATTCCTTTGCAGGTTGATGAATTAACTGATGAATTTGATGCAAGGAGAAGCACAGGACATCTTTGTGCAGCTACGGCTGCAAACTTTGAGCAGGTAACTTTCCATTGCAATTTTTTTTGGAGCAATCCAATTCTTCTATTACAGGAACTCGTACTAATCTAAACATTAATTAATGATACATTGAACATGACGATTCCCAGATACTTGATGCAACCCTTGATGGTAGTAGGCAACCTTCAGAGTTGTCAAGGATCTCAGTGAAACTAAATGGACTTCAGCTACCAACTTATGCTCTGAATGATATATTGGTCTCACACCCCTGTCCAGCAAGTGTATCACGATTCTCATTTAGGTATTGCCTTCAATTCTTTGCGTTAATTTTTTAATTTTTTTAATCAATTCTGATGTTATTGCCATCTCAGGAAGAGAAGCAACACTGGAGAGAGCTCGCATTTAATTAATTGCAGGTCAAGTGGTCTCAGGGTTGCAACGCCTGCTGGATCAACTGCTGCTATGCTATCGGCAGGAGGATTCGTGATGCCAATATCAAGCCATGAGCTTCAGTATATGATAAGGGAGCCCATTTCTCCAAGGGATGCTGACAAGCCACTGCTGCATGGGTTAGTTAAGCAAGGTCAACACATACTTGTCGTTTGGTACAATGAGGAAGGCGCTGTTTATTTTGATGGTTCACATGTAATGCATTCAATTCAGCATGGAGATACACTGGAGATCTCCTCTGATGCTCCAATCTTGAAAGTTATTTTGCCAGAAAATCTGTTAAAGCAGGGATCTTAGTAATGCAATAACATTATCATCGTTATTGTGCTTGTTAATATGGTATGATGTTTGACACTTGAGTTTCTGAGAACTGTCTGATATAGATGCGTATTTATGTAATGACAGAGTTAACTTATGCTATGAAATAAAATAGTGGATGCTAATTTTTGTAACCTACCCTTTTGGAAACAAGAGAATACGCAAGGTTAGTTTTCAGAGACCGTAGGAAGCCCCAATCAGTTCTGAAGCAGGGAGTGTCCACCTCCTTAATAGGATTTGACATTGGTCTGTTACTACTTGGTACTTCTAACAGAGACAAAATGGCCTACTCCTAATGGTTCTTACATTGTACAGAGCTCATGAAACACATCTGACATTTAATTCACTAAAGACGATGATTCATTGGTGTTGCTGTATGATGCTTGTGCTGTCATACTTTGGCTCTCACTTGGGTTTTGCCAAGGCTGAGGTCTGACAAAAATGGTTGCAGTGGTGTATGCCCCTCAAGCAGGCTCACTACTTTGGACATCTTTGGTCTCGGTGCTGGTGCTGCATTGGTTCAGAAGAGGGCAACATTCATCATGAGGTGCACAAGTCTGGATCTACCAGCTCTAGGAGATTTCCTTACTCATGTACAACACAAGCCTGCAACACATCTGGGAGAGAACATCATACTGCTACTAAGGTATGTTCCATGTGAACATACCAGAATTTCCATCCTTCCTGTGAAATATTTTAGTCAAGAATTGAGGTTGACAGGGTATCTGCTTTGGAGTTGTTTAGCCTTCCTGTGAATTTCCATCCAATTCCAAAGCAGTAGTAATTACTCAGCTCCTCCTCTTTGTTTTTGTAATAGGCAAAATGCTTGCGTATCATTGTATCAAGGAAGAAGTAGAAAAATGCAAGCGCATACAAGAGGGAGGGAGTGTCAGCCTCCACGAGCTGACAACTTCCAGGAAAAGAGAAGGCTTAGAAGAAAACAACCAGGATTACACACCGGAAGGATGACCTGAAAAGCTAAACACCAGAGTTTAACCTCCTCGGAAACTTGAGAACTTCTGCCCAGGTTCTTAACTGCTGGTTGAAGACGTGATTGTTCCATTCGGATTCCCATTCCTTCCAGATCATCCAGGCGACCAAGATTATCAAAGTGTTAAGATACTCAGCTCCTCCTGGTCCGATTGTTTGTGCTGTGCTAGGATCCTCTCGATCTTGGCAGGGGATCTTCTCTTGGCTAGCTCCTTCAAACCTCTGACATTCCACCACCTAAGGTACTGATCCATTCCTCTCTTACTAATAACCTAAAAAAATTATTTTTTTTTCATTTTGTCGGCAGTCAAGTTTTTCTTTGCTTAGTTCTTTTATAGGGAAAATCTTTTAATTGTGTTTATTTAATTTTCCACTTGATCTAATAATAAGCAGTTTTGCTATAATCGTATCGACATATTTTCTAGTCAATCAGTCTATTTTCTAATCGTCAACACTGAGTAGTAGTTATAATAGTAGTTTTCTCCTGAAGAGCTCTTGCGTGTAGCAGTGTGCAACTGCAACTCTGCAACCAAACAGTCAATTGAATTTTTTCATCTTGCATCACGGCCCTCACTTTTCCTATTGAACAAATGGAGAGAACTTGTGCCTGTACTGCTGCATATCTGTATGCTGCCTCTAGTACTAGTTTATACTTTACTGATTACTTTGAGTAAGATTATATGGTAATTACACCATAATTATGCTGTAACTTTGGTGTAAATTTTATAGATGTCGACTGTAATAAATTTAAATTTGTTTGAGACACATTCATATGAATTCCCATAAAATTTAAATTATTAATATTACAGATTCCAAAGCATACTGTTCATGCAAAAATTAAGTTTCTCAAGAAATATCACTAATTTGAGTAGCATTTGTGCTAAACATTGTAGTTAGAGAAATTTGACTCTTTTGTATAGTTGGAATTATATCGCATCATGTATAGATGCATCCACAATGAAAATCTTGATACTGATTTTAACATACCATTATTTCCTCTTACCAGTTCCATGCCTCATTACAGCGTAATCTCCCCGATTGTCTCTCTTTGTGAACATGTTGTGGAAGCCAATCAGGAAGCACATTTACTACTGCCTCAATCCTGAAAGTAATGTTCATAATCTTATGATCGCTGCTGATGATCTGAGGGACACCATTGATACTATCGAGGAGAGAATTCTGGTGGGTGAATGTGAGGGAAAGAAACCAAAGGCACAGGCAACAAGCTGGATACGTAGTGCTCAATCAGTTAGAGATGAATCAGACAAGATAAAAAATGGCTATGAGGCAAGGAGAATACATGCGTTGGGTTGTTCCTGGAACTTTTTCTTCAACTACAGTGTAAGCAATTCTGCCACCAAAATGCATGCTAATGCTGATGAGATCAAGAAGAGAGCTCCTGAGAATGATGGTATGTTCAGCTCCCTGCCACTGGTTGGCAGAGAGATGCCTCTGCCACCCTACATTGTGGGGCAAGATGAGTACAAGGATAAGATTGTTGGTTCCATTAAGCAGGGCACCACAGGCACCATTGGGATATGTGGCATGGGAGGGTCTGGCAAAACTACTCTCCTCAAACAATTGAACAACATCTTCAGCTGCGCTGCAGAAACACACGAATTCGATCATGTCATCTATGTGGAGGTCAGTCAGCAGCAAAATCTGGAGACAGTTCTGCAGAACATCGCATCCCAACTTGGCATTATGCTGACACAGAACAAGGACGCTACATTTAGGTCTGCATCCCTTTATAACTTCTTGAAGGAAAGGAGCTTCCTACTTCTGATAGATGATCTTTGGCAAACACTAGACCTGGTGAAGGTCGGCATACCGCAAGGTGGTCGGCAATTGGGCCCTCAAAACAGGCAGATGATAGTAATAACATCACGTTTGCAACAAGTTTGTTATGGTATGGACGGGCATTGCCAGATGATTGTGTTGCAAAGGTTGAAGTTTAATGAAGCATGGAGTCTCTTTGAATCAAATGCGGGTATTAGAATAACCAATAACGTGCAAGTCAAGTGTCATGCCGAGAGCATAGTGGAGAAGTGTGGAGGCCTTCCGCTTGCTCTTAAGATTGTTGGTCAGGCTATGGCATCAAAAGGAACTGAACATGAATGGGAACTAGCTGTGAATTTGCTTGAACAATCACAATTCCACAAGGTCCCGGATGTAGAAAATGATCTATATTCTGTACTGTACATTAGTTATGACAACCTGCCAGATGAGAGGACAAAGCAATGCTTTCTTTTCTTTGCCTTCGCCAGCTATGGAACTGTATGCACAGAGTCCTACACGAAGTTTTTGGATGGGCCATGGATTACTAGATGAAGATGATGATATTGGAAACAGCAATTTGAGAGGTTACTCAGTCGTTGCTTGTTTAAAAAGAGCTTGTCTATTAGAAGGACATCCTCTAGGGGAGAAGTATTTGAGGATGCATGACTGCATCCAAGATCTGGCCCTTTGGATTACAGCAACAAAAAGGGCAAACGGTTCTAACAAAAAGTGGTTAGTCGTCTCTGACCAAAGAAAACTTATTGATCCAAAAGAGTGGAGCATGGCCGAAAGAATTCGCCTCTTGCACAACAAAAATGTTACAATCCCTAATTCTTGCTATTGTCCTCACCTGTTAACTCTCATAATGAGACAGGCCAGTCAGATTTGCATGTTAACTAGGCTGGGTTCTTTGGAGTCGCTTTATCTCTTACCTACCTGGATCTGTATTGTACTAATATTGAACAACTTCCATCTGATATTGGAGCATTACTGAACTTGCAGCACCTTGATCTTTCATACACACCAATCCAATCACTCCCAGTGAGGTTCAGATTATTGAAGAAACTGAGGTACCTATATTTAAGGTATACACGCAAACTCCAAACAGTCCCAGATGGCACCATATCGGCACTAAGTATGCTGAGGGTGCTGGATATACACGGCAGTGTTTTTTTCACAAAGGTGAAAGCACGGTCATATCTTGAGGAACTGGAGAGCTTGACCAGTTTGCAGCTTCTCAGGGTCACAGTGGTTGATTTCCAGTCGCTCAGGAGGATCTTCAATTTGTCCAGAGTCTCCCTGCGAGACAGGATTGGGACGCCTCCAAGTTTCGTCCCAACTTATCAGCAAAGCAAGGGCACAACATCTAGAAGTTCTGGCTCTGAGCTATATGAAGAGTTTGGAGAAGTTGATGATAGGTGGTGAAAGTGAAACCAGTGTGGATTATTCAGATTGGTGCTTCCAAAATCTCGATGAATTCAGATTGCATCACCTCACAAAACTGGGAAGCATCATGTGGAAAGGGGTGATGCCACATGCTTGCTTTCCTAAGGTTCGTACGGTAGATATCATCGGCTGCCACAGCATCAAGACACTCACTTGGATCAACCAGCTTCCTTGCCTAGAAGAGGTGTATTTATACAACTGCAACTCACTGTTGGAGGTAGTGAGTGATGATGATGAGGAAGATACCACCATGCCATCGGCAACAGCTTCATCATCATTTCCTCGCCTCAGGCACCTCGGGCTAAGTCATCTCAAGGATCTTTACAAAATATGTGGTGATGGGAGACTTGGATTTCCATGCTTGCAGCGGCTGCTTGTGTACGAGTGCCCTATGCTGGCAAGACTGCCATTCGTGCTATGGAATGGATCTGCTGTGTGCCTCTGATTCTCGGTGAACAAAACTGGTGGAACAACTTAGGTTGGGACGATGCTGGACTGAAATCTAATTCAGTCCCTTTCTTCAGAGAACTACCTCCAGGTTTTAAAGGGAGTAACATGGAAGTTTGGGAGGCAATGTTCCAAGCGTTGCCTTAATCTCAGCAAAGGAAATAATAATTGGTCATAAATCTCAAAGAAGAAGAAAGCTTTGGTCGCCTGTTGCATGGTGTTGAGAGTTTCAGTTCTTGAAAGAAAGAAAAAAGCACTACACACATTTTCCTGTTTATAATTGGCAGTGCGCATCTCAGTTATGCCTGTAGTGTTGAAGTGTTCTCAGAATCTCAGTACAGTCTTTCGTGTAGTGTTGCTTCTCTCTTTTGTGATGAGTTTATTGTGCTTGTGCTAGCATTTTTATTAATACATGACCGGACTTTGTCGTACCTGTAAATTGAAAAACCCTATGGGAATTTTTTTTTTACCATTCTGGAGTCTTAGATGGGTAAGTAGCAAGGGTTTGGTCATTTTGTGAGAGGGGTGGTGTCATGAGAGGGATCGAGCAACATTGTTGAGTCCGGGCGACTAATAGTCAATCAAATTTTTTTATGAAAATTGATGGTTATTGTCTACGTTACCCTGATACGGCTGGGAAGGAGCGTATCCGTATCAGATACGTAACAAGATACGGATACGTATCGGATACGCTCCGATACGTATCCTGTACGTATCCTCCATTTTTCCGACTTTCAAAAAAATAAAATAATTAGGATACTTTTTTGATACGCACATGATACGGGATAACAACCCTAGCCGCCTCCCGTCTTTTTGTGCACAACGGCGCCGTCGTCCTCGACCTCTGCACTGCCGCTGCGCAACAAGGGCATGATGCCGCTGCGCGCTGCCGAGCACGGACGCCACCGGCGTGCGCCTCTAAGCACGGAATCGCCACCGCTGTCAAGCGCCGCCGAGAAGGGAATCGCGCCGCCGCCGTCAAGCGCAGTTGAGAAGGGAATCGCTGCCGCTGCCAAGCGCATTCCTGTGGTTGCTGGGCACAGCACCATCGCTGCACGGGTTGGTGGTTCAACTGTTCAAGTGAGGTAGGCGTGAGTATTGACAGTTGAGTTAAATCACTTATTTGATCTGCAATGATTTTTTTTTGTCCTTATTGTTGTTCTCCTTTCTTGTTTTCGGAACAAACAACTGCCATATTACTATTTCAGAGATCCGATAGATTACGAAATTGGAAACTCAAGAGTACTAGTGCATCCAGGATCTTAATGTTGGCGATAACATCATTTCTTTTTTTATTTTGGTAGCTGTAGCCCCCGTAAGTAAGTGACTTTTAGAGATCCAGTAAGTACTGGTATTTTTTTTTAAACTAATCCAGTAAGTACTGGGACTGCAGTACTTGAAAGCTATGCTCGATATATCTGTGTATTGCTTCCTTCAGTTATCTCTGAATTGTTGGCATGCTCATTATTTTGGGCTTAATCAGTTCTGCTATTTTCTTTCAGGAGTTCATTGATTTTTATTATTTATTTATGATGTATATATAGACGTATCCCCGTATCCATGATTTCTAAAAATAGCCGTATCCTGGTATCCCCGTATCGCGTATCCATATCCGTATCCACGTATCCGGGTAACATAGGTTATTGTAGTGGAGGTGGCAGCGGCCCGGGTGGCCGCTTGGCCTGTTTGCGAGTTGGCTCTGCTGTTAATTAAGGCTCTGTTCTATTTCTTCAACTCAAATTTCACCTTCCTTATTTTCCGTTAGCATATTTTTTAAACTGTTAAACGGTGGTTTTTTCTTTAAAAAAAAGTTTCTATATAAAAGTTGTTTTAAAAAAGTAAATAAATCCATTTTCAAACTTATAATAGTTAATACTTAATTAATTATGTGCTAATAAAGTTTCTCGTTTTGCGTGCAACTAAAATTATCGAACAGGGCCTAAGAGTGATTAAATGGAGCTACTAAACAATGCCAAATACTAGTTATTATTGTTATTGTTTTTTGGAATGTGCAAAAGTTCCGTGCTTCTCTGTATTAAGATAGGGGAAACTTCAACAATTTACCTAAAAGAGGTGTTAAAACCAAAAAAACAGAACTATAGAAGAAAGAAGACGACAGCACTAGGCTACGCCTCATGGTGTTAAAACTACTTCTAATGCAAGAAACCATCTCTACACAAGAACCAATAATGAAAATAAGGGGATAGGTGTATAAAAGAAGAGAGAAGAGACATGATTGGATGAGAATTTAATTTAACGACACCATCCATTGGATATATGATTTCTAGACACTACATAGTGTCCATATGATATGGCAAGTATAGAAACTACTGGATAGTTTCTGGGTTGGGGATGACTCTTAGAGTGATTTCGGGTAGGAGACTAAAAAATAATTGATGGTTTCTCCTTGTTGGTCGCAAAAGGCACAGGATCTAGGGTGTGGTAATCCCCTCTTGCTCAGTCTATCTATAGTCACAATGTGCGACCAACCATGTAAAGTAGTATTTGCATTTGAGCGGTGCAGAGCTCTTCTAGGTCGGTGCAGCTAGGAAGGATTCCCTTCCTAATTAATAAGAGGAAATTGTTGGACTGTCATGTAGGGATGAAAACGGAGCAGATAGTTTCTGTCCGCTCAAAACGAATACGAATACTTTTCGGATCGGATAATTCTCAGATAGTTCGGATACGGATACGAATACGGATATTTTCTCCCGGATATGAATACGAATATGGTATCGGGGTTTCCGTCGGATAATAATCCGTAAACAGTGCTATTTGGATATCCACATAAGCCATGAGACATACCCCATTTATTTATAACTCTATGACCTTGAATATACATTTTTAGATTTTAATAGTAGTTCATCTCTTAACATTAGTCCACACTATTAATATTATTTAAATTTTTAAAGATATTCATAAATTATATTATATTTTATATAAAATAAGCTAATTATATATGTTGATACTTGTTTCTATTAGAAGTTGAGTTGGTTTTCGTGTTCCGAGAAAAAAATGTTTCCGTATTCGTGTTCGATCATATTCGATTCTTATTCGTATTCGAGATAATCCGTATTTGTTTCCGCATTCGAGCTATCCGTATTCGATTCCGTCAGGCACACAAGCTTACACGTATATATGCATCCCAACCCCAAAGCTATACCAAATAGAACAAAGAACACTCATCTCCCTTACATACTCAGCGAGCCATACCATATACCAAATAGAACAAGATTATTGACCCATTTTTATTTCTCGGAGCAAGATTGATCGACGGCACATGGATCTATCTCGTAACTAAGCTCTCCGCTGAGCGACATTTAACTATTTGCCACTTTTAAGATTAGATATATAGCTAGGTCTCGCTACCGGTTTGTCCGGTGGCGGTAGTGGTTTTCTCATTGCTTGGAGCCGGAGTGATCGGGATTCCGACCTTGTCACGCCCCTGCAGGGGCTTGCGCTTGGCGACGGTCACCAGCAGCGTCCCGAAGGTGAGCTCGGCCTCGACCTTGGCCGTGTCGTACGGCTTGTTCGGCAGCAGCAGGCGCACGTCGAGGGAGTTCGCCGGCGTCGACGTCTCGTCGCCGGCGCCGCCGTAGCTGACGAGGAGCACCGTGTCGTGCTCGATCCGAACCTTGAGCTTCTCCCTGTCTATCTCCCCGACGTGGAACCACAGCTTCACGTAGTCGTCGTCCTCCGTGATCCTCCACCTGTTGCCTGACGTCGGTGGGAACTTGGGGTGCACCAGGGCTTATATCACATATGATATATATGTGCCACATATCACATGGCATATGAAATATAAATGCTTATTAGACTTGCATTGCATATACAACAGGGAAGAAAATAATAGAACTGAGAGAAATTTTATGGTCCTTGAGAAAAGGATAGAACAACATCGGCGGAAACCATGTTGTTCCGGCCTTCATACTCAACTAAATCAACAGGAAGGCCTTTGTCCTTTATTACCTTGTATAATTTAGTCATAAAAATATATTTTACACTAAAAATTATTTTGGTATCTCGAGGTACCAAGTTCTACACTAGAAAAATTTGGTACCTCCCAGCACTTAAAGGATGGTAAGATTACCCTAAAACTAAACTTAAACTTCACAGATATCGTACTACTAAAGATGAACCAAATCGAGAAATAAAATTCGTATGAAATTAGAATAAAGTTAGGAGCTGAATATAATGAAAACTAAAACATATTACAGTACACTATGCTGTCTATAAACTTAAAAAAATTGTACTTATTTTGAAATTTATACCAGCAAATACTATAATATGCTTTCGGAATATTTACAACAGAGACTCACCAAAGGGTGCGATGCCAAAGGGATGCCCAGTATCAGCAGGGCTTTTCGGAGAATTATTAGCACGCACCAAAAGACGCGGAGACTTCCTTTGGAGGGCCAATGCCGCTGCTGGCTTGCCTGCGGATCGCAGGGCTGCACCAAAGGGAGCTTTCAGTACCGGAGGCGCCGTCTGGCTCATCAGGAGGTTGAAAGATGTAACCATGGACATTGCTGCTCAGTTTATGTACTAAATCTGTTAGTTTTGGTGTGCTAGCTAGCTACTTCGGAGGGTAGCTTATATAGAGATCAGGAGGAGGAGATATATACATTCTTTAACTTTGCTTCGCCCTGCAGAATGCTTGGAATAACTGATCAAAGAAGTTGCTAATGAGCAGCTTAGCTAGCTTTTTCTAAAGGAACAAATTAACAAAGATGATGCTAAACTTGATGCAGGAAGTGTTATCATTCTCACAAAAGCACCAGAGAAATGTGGGCACACAATGCATGTCTTCTCTGTTCAGGTACAAGGCTTAACTTATTCCTGAAATCTAAAACGTTAAAAAAAAAGAGAGTACACTTCACACCCCTTAACCTAAAAATATTTCCACTTTTCTTTTTGTCATATCTCAGGTGCTTCCGTGAAAACGAAAACACCCTCCGACAACAAGTTTAGCATCATGTTCCCAGCATTGCACCTTTACAAAAGCTGCATGGCAACTATTTATATTCTTGCAAGCATATAGTTCAATTGTATGAGAAATCAATGGCCATAGTCTAATATTGAAGATAACATTAAATAATTAAACTAGAAGATACCCCGAGCATTGCTACAATAATTCTTAGCTCAACGAAAATTGAAATGTATGCTGCCAAATGAAATTTATTTATACAGTTATTATATAATGCATACAGCCACACATAGGAACATGTAAATCAAACAGAGGCAGCAAGATATATAATAAGAGTTCTAAGTTTTATTTTTTTATGTTAAAACCATCTTCAGTGAGAACCATGGCTTGAAGGTGAGGTTGTAAGAGCTTGAAACTCTGATAGTTATTGTTTGATAACATCTTCCTTCTGCAATGTGCTTGTACATGTAATAACTACTTCTGAATTCAGTCCAGAAGAATCCTTGAGGTTTGCGATTGCATTTTACTGCAAATCATCATTTTCCCAGAATGTATCCTAATTTTTGGCCTAATTTTTCTTCTGATGATTGATTTAACCTCTGATAAAAAGATAGACCTTGGTTCTATTTCATCTCTTCAACAAGTTTAGTAATAAGCATAACGGCCCTATTGTTTCGATGGAGAGAAGAACCTATAATTAGCTTTTCGGAAAATTTCCAAACGAACAATGTCAACAAAATCTTCATATTTGCAGTAAATATGCAATCGCAAACCTCAAGAATTCTTCTGGACCGAATTCAGATCAGTAGAAAAGGAAAACACCCTCCGACAAACCTCTATTCTCCTTGAGGTTTGCGATTGCATATTTACATGTAATAACTACTTATGCACATGATGTAGAAAAGGAAGAAACATGAAGAGATTCCTAGAATGGGAAGCTTATAGCAATGCGAATGGCTAAACAGAGATAAATCATCATAATTCATTACAATTGAACTATAAATTGAAGATCCATATTTAGTACAGTTTGAATTAAAGCATTATATGTAATCTTGAGCTATACTCTCACCCTTTCCATGTCATACAACGTACAGTCATGAAAAAAACCACGAATAAATTTGTCAATACACAGATTATATCGTTATATATCACTTCATTTAACAAACATACTTAAACTAGATCTACAAAAAAAAATGCTGGTAACATCCTAACAATTACATTCTATATTTTTTTGATATTTTAATAAACTTTATATCAACATCTTCTTTTGTATAAAAAATATATATTCATCAAAGATCCTTGAGTTTTTTTTTGTGGGGATCAAAGATCCTCGAGTTTAATCAAATTCTTAGCAATAAATCAGTTAAGCTATACAGTACAGTATACTAATTAGTTTATAAAGGATATTATATCAATTCTACATCCATCCCATGCCTATGAATTCAATCAAACATGTAAGTGTTCCATATACTAAGTGACCAACATCAACAAAATAAAAGGATGCCACCGACCATTGAAAGGACAATAGGTGACTTGAGGGCAAGTGGCAACGAGCTTACGGCTAGGTAATAGCGTGGTGTCAAACCTTTTCAAGCTGTCTTTGTCTTTACCCTAAGCACATAGGACACAAGCGAGGAGATAATGATGGTAGATTGCACACATTCTCTAAAGCATAATGAACTCGATAACGGTTGACAAATACTGTATTTTGATAAGATGTCATTTAGCAACAATTAATTAGACAATAGACAATGACAAAAGTACCTTGCAATTTTTAGTAATGGTGTGACGACTTGGTATTCGATGAGCTTCATTTTGGTGCCATTGAGAAGAATAATGTGATCTGTTTTGAATTGGTAGGAAACACCCAATTGGGCAAACCAAAATATTTATTTTAAATAGGAAAGGTGTTTCATTTAGTTTGGTGAATTCAGGAGATGTAAATCATATAAAACTCATTGATTAGAACTAACACGACAAAATGTAATGTCCATAATTAGAACTCATACGACACAATGCATTTTAGTCTAAAATACTTGAAATTTTATAAACAATCAACACACACTTTAAATTTATATAGTCATTGTGTTATTTTAGATGAATTTGTTCTTCTATAGTAGTGAACACGTGAAAAAAGAAATTACTCCCAATAACGTATTGACATTTTATATTAGCTAGCTGCGCAGTTGCATGGATGATTTGTAAGGGCTACACATCTCATCTAGTGAGTCGGTGACTGAAGAGTAAAGAATTGTTTTTTTGGCACGAACAAAAGCACTAATAATATATGTTTATGAGGTTTCTCTAATTCTCTTCGATGGCGCTGATGTCAACAATCCTCGTTCCATCTTCCGTAGGAGCCTTCTTCTTGATGGTCACCTCTAACCACACTTTGTCATCGACCTTCTTGGACCGCCACTCCACCTTCTTCTCATCATAGCCCGGTGTCATCAAGAGGCGCACATCGAGAAGGCTCGGCTGTTGCTTCTTCTGCTGCTCACGATCCCTCAGCGAGATGGTGAGCACGTCGCCATGATCGATCGCAACCTCGATGGCGTTGTTCACCTTAGATTCGTCGCCGCCAACAATCTCCGTGACCGGGAATTGCAGCGTGACGCTGTCTCCCGCCTCCACGATCATCTCCTGTCCTCCCATGTTTCTTCCGGCCTTCTCCTTCTGCCTTTCGCTTTCGCGAGCGGGATGCACCAGAGCTTTCATTGATCATCATGCACGCAAGACCGAGAAAACGTTGTCAGGAACTCATCAGAATGCTGTTTTTAGGATCATGTACATAGAGTACACATTGAGAAAAACAAGTCTGAAGTTTAATGATTGTAACTCTGGACATTTCTTCGAGCATACAATCATATGAAATCACTCACCATCCGGGGAAAAGTTTATGGCAGCAGAGATTGGGGCAAATCGATGTCGAGGCAGCCCATACTTGTCAGGAGCAGTAGAGAAAGGGAGAAGAGCAGCTGGTGTCGTTAGTCGTCGTTGTCGTCGTCGCATGCTGGGAGAAGAGAAGCTAACGGCTGCTGCTGCTGCCTCAAGGCAGCTGATGTAGCAAGAGATTGCAGCAGCTGGTTGCATTTCTCCAAGAGAAGCATCAAATGTAATGATCGTTATGTGTTTGCAGGTGGTAGCTTGCATGAGATGACATTCTTGTGCATATATATAGGGGTATAAAAACCAAATTAAAGCTTGAGGATTTACCTTTGCTTGCCCCGGTTGGCTTGGCGAATAAAGAGGCTGTGAAGCTCAGCTAGCTTTTGTGAAGTTGGTTGCAATAGCAAATGGATTGTTTACCAAATGATGACTAATCGTAGGAATCTGATTTCTTTTTTTCTTTAACCAAAGCACGTCCAGCATGCATGATTTGATGTTATTTGATTTTTCAGCAATTCTAAACAATAGAATCTCCTAAATATTCAAGTAATATGAAATATATTAACCATATTTTTTTATAATTTGGAGAAAAACATGATTGTATTTGAACTCTATTTGCTATCGTGTTAAAAAATTGGAAACGTTTGACCTTTTCAGATAAAATATTTGAATTGTTCTCTAATTATTTTTAAAATAATATATAAATTGACTAAAAAAGGGTCTGATCACCACGATATATAAATGGGTAACCAGTGACACCATGACGTGGACAAGGCTATCGATGGACATAACGGGTCGACAGTGGAAGTCAGGAATGTAGCTAATTTCGCTTCGCGTCAAATGGTTTGGAACAAAGCACCAAAATATTGCGGGCACACCTAATTTCCTCGCTGACATGAATGGACCATTGGCAAATTTGCATGCGGATAAAAAGGAGAAAAGAACCACTTTTTCAGTGACCAGCCACCATTGTCCAGAAGCTCATTCCTCTTCTCATCCCCTCCAGCTTCTTCCTTCTCCCTGCCCCAATATTGCAACTCCAAATCCACCACACTTGGTAGGTCTTTCCCCTGATGCCACATGCTTGCTTCCCTAGGGTTCATGTGGTAGATATCATCGGTTGCCTTAAGGGTCTCTTATCCCATTATGGGTGGCGTAGTTCCATTAGAATTGCTGGTTGAATCTTGTGAAATCAAAGGTGTTTTTTATTATTATTCTGTGATGAACAATTGGCATTGGAGATTATTGGTTTTGATATTTGAAATTTATTTGCGAAGTGGTTTTGGAGATGATTGGATTTCACAGGTGATCTACATGTACTACTGGATTTGTGGTCCGGTCAGACCGGGCATGTGCTGCCAGTCAGACCAGCTTGTATTGCCCGGTCAGACCGGCGCAGCCCGCGGTCTGACCGGCCGACGCTGTGTCGGTTTCGGTTTCGGGTTGTTTATTTGGATATCTGTGATTGTTTCATATTTATGGCTTCTAGATTGATACTATGCATATGTAATACTGTTGTTTGCTACTAATGAGTCAAGTTGGAGATAGCTTGGTCTCGAAATATGGTTTCTTTGTTTGTTTCATGTGTAGGTGACTCGATGCCTCGGGAGAGTATATTTGCGGTGATGGACCGGGAGTCGACTTGGTGGGAAGGAGATGTCCGTGGTGGTCAGATATCATGCGTGATACTTAGGCTAGAGTTCAATGCACGTGGTTGGTGAAGATTCCATATGGCATACGATGGAGGTATTGTGTGCGTATGGGATACGGAGTCGAATTTGGAAGGAGTCCAAATTTGGTATGATTGGTTATGTAAAGTTTGTTTCTTATACGAAAAGGTTTCCTAGGGGGATTAGGACTTCTAGTATGAGTTTGGTTCATGCCTTTAGGCTGCCTACCTCATGTATAAATAGAGAGGGAGCGTGAGGCTTCCCGGTATCGCTTTTGAGAGCAATTGAGTTGATAGTTTACTTAGGGTTTCGAGTTTAGTCGAGATTTTTGTAAGGAGTGCTGTTGTTGCACTTTGTAAACACAGAGAGAATCAATAAAGTCATCATCCACTTTAAGAGTTCTTCGATTTGTGTTTTCTCGGGTGTGGCGGTCCAACCGACGAGACACCGGCGGTCAGACCGGCGGGCACACGGTGGTCAGACCGGCGGCGGCGACAGGTGCTGGCGATTGACCTCGGCGGTTCGACCGGTGTTACAACCTCGGTCAGACCGACGTGTTCTAGGCGGTCAGACCGGCACGTCTACTTCGGTCAGACCGCGATCCATCGAATTTGAGGGTAACTTTTAATTCCGATAAAAGTTTTGGTTTTTGGGTATACCAACCATTCACCCCTCTCTGGTTGGCTTAGTTCTTGTGTTTCGATCCTACAAATCTATGTTGTTTAACGCTAGTTAATAATAAAAGGGAGTTGGGGGTTTGTCTCATTACCTATCGTCCCTTTTTATTTGTTGAACAAACTTATGGTTGTGTGCTTTAGGGCAGAAGCCGGAGAAAAAAATATCATCAGCTGCCACAGCATCATGATACTCACATGGATCGATCAGCTTCCTGTCCTAGAAGAGGTGTACTTATACAACCGCAACCAATGGTGAATCCAGAACAAAAATTACCATGGGTCATATACATATCATAGCGTATATAAAACGCTAATTTTTAACTATTAGAGCCTGTTTGAATCATAGGAAGGAAAAAAACAAAGAAATAGGAAAACACATGATTCTGACATGAATATAAGTGTTAACAAGAGGATTGCAAAACACAAGAATGATTGTTTGATTGGACCGTAGGAAAAATACAGGAATCGGATGAGAGAGATAGAGTCAAAGGAAATTTTCCAAGAGATTGGAGCTCTTGCTAAGTTTCCTCCAAAATCCACATGCAATGAGTCATTACATAAGATTTGGAAACCTTCAATCGTTTGAATCAAAGAGCCAAATAGGAAAATTTCCTATAGGATTTGAATCCTATAAAATTCCTACATAAATTCTTTGATTCAAAGGGGCCCTTAATGTAGTTAATATAGGCTAAAATAACTAAATATTGAAATTCTACTTAATTAAGGTCCTAGGTTAACATAGGTCACTGCCACTGACTGCAATTCACTTTTGGAGGTAGTGAGTGATGATGAAGAATAAAAGGTGTATTGTTGCCCCTCTCTCTATGATGAGTTTGTTGTACTCGTGCCATCATTTTTAAGAATAGTTAATATTGCAAGACGATGTCCCTTGCTAGATCATATGCCTTTGATGTTTTATGAGAGGCGAATTTTATAGCTGTAATCAAGCAAGCACTCACTGGTGGGGTTATATCATGCATGATCTGTCAGCATGGAGATCGTTTGTCACTCAAAGAAAACATCAGATGTTGTGTCACGGTCATGGGACACCTGCATCAAGAACACGATGAACCGAACGGCTTCTTCCTCCTCTGGCTCTCTTCCTTCTCTCTGCTATTCCTCCTAGCTCAAGCTTTCATTTCTCTGATCTCCCGGTCCCCTGCTTTCCACCACCCCAATCTAGCTTCTAATCCCACTCTAAACCCCTGTTTCTCCCAAATTGTATCCCTGACACTTTGATATATGGTGTTGGAGACTTGGAGTTGGATCATCTCAGTTGTGCTTGTGTTGTCGGGTGGAAATCAAGATGGGTACGTAACAATATGGTATGAGAGCAATCGATCCCGGGTTTTCCGGTGTTAAGATGGTGTGGGAGAGCAACTTGGTGGTGGTGTCTTTGGAGGAGACGCTGACCACCTGTTCGGTGAAATGCCGGAGGCGACTCAGGTGCCACCCTTCGCGTCTCCGTGAGCCACATTGTCTACCCAGTGACTTCTGAGATGCTGCATCTAGTGTACAATACCCATGGAGCAGTTTGATGCTAGTTGTACGTTCCTAGTCCATCCAATAATTGGAAAGCCCTGGCCATATATAAAATTCACTATCCTAAAGATTTAAGCAGAGTGTCCATCTTAATAGTAGGATCTGACACTAGTCTGGTATTTACACTGTACTTCTAAAAGAGACAAAATGACCTACTCCTAATGGTTCTTACATGTACAGAGCTCATGAAACACTTCTGAGTTCTGACATTTAAACTCACCTAAGGTCTCAGGCTACCAGCAATATCTAAAGATGATGACTCATTGGTGTTGCTGGATGATGCTTGTGCTGCAGTCATGCTTTGGCTCTGATCACTTAGTGTTTGCCAGAAGTTCCTGCGCTGACCGCTTGAGCTCAGGCTGTTTGCAGCAAGGCTGAGGTCTGACAGAAATGGTTGAAGTGGTATGTGCCCCTCAAGCAGGCTCAAAACTTTGGTCATCTTTGGTCTCAGTGTTGGTGCTGCATTGGTGCACAGGAGGGCAACATTCAGCATGAGGAGCGCCTCTTCCGTTGAGTAATCGGAGCCTAACTCTGGATCTACCAGCTCCAGGAGATTTCCTCGCTCATGTAGAACACAAGCCTGCAACTCATTTAGGAGAGAATACTTTTGAGGTATGTACAATGTGAATGTAGCATGAATTGGGAAATTTAAGAATTTCGGTTTGATGAAAATACTGTTTGCTTTAACAACTTTCTAATTAAAATGCTTGTTGTGTTATCTTTGAAATAAACAATATGTTGGACAAAATTAAACCAGTAATGGATGCTGTTTGTTTCAAATTAGAAAAAAAATGCCATCACATTGATAACTAAAGATCTATTCCTTTGGTTAGATTGTTACATAAGTCAGGTATAATATTAGCGGAGTTTGGATGGAATTCATCAATGTCCAGAAGAAGTTTAAGAGACAAAATGCCGGCTAAGATTGAGCTAAATTTTAGTGTTCATAATAAGGTTCCTATAAATGTGCTTCCATGGTCATGCACAGAACATTATTGCGTTAATTGGAAATTGACCAATGTGCCAGTAACTGGTAACTGGTTATTCTAAGCATGGTTTAGGAATTACCCAATCGAGAAGATAAACAAAATCTTCCTTTGGCCTGTAGCTTGTGTTACTTTTTCCACTAACAATTTCCAAAGCAACAACCCCAAAACTGTAAACATCAGCTTTGTCTGTCAAATAACCACGCATTGCATACTCAGGAGCCATGTATCCGCTGCAGGAAGAATAACAACAAAATGATTGAGTCAAATATCTGCTCTGTAGTTGAATGGAATTATTTGGAAGGGGCATGGAGAGAAGAAGTAATCTCCATCAATAGTTGTTCATATGGAAATTGATTTCAGTAGTAAGAACATTAATTCCTTTGAATTGTTAGTCTACATATGGTGGCATCTATTTGTTACTGTTTTTGTGCAACTACGTGCCTTGTAGGATCCTACATTTTATTTCGGTTTTTTACTATATTAGCTACCCTCAGAGTTTCCATAAACCATACATAAAGGTCGCAATGTTCATTTTTATCTAAGTTCTAACTGTCATGTCATTTAAAGACTTCCTATTGTAGATCAATGAGACTTGGGACACGATCGAAATTAAATTTGGGGGGAAAGGGGGTATGGAAATCAAAAAGAAAACTTACATAGTCCCAGCTATTCTTGTACTTATGTGTGTGTGATCATCATCGTTAAGCTTTGCTAGCCCAAAATCGGAGATCTTGGCACTCAAGTCTTTGTCAAGCAGTATATTGCTAGCCTTGATATCTCTGTGCACAATCCTTATTGCAGACTCCTCATGTAGATATGCTAAACCCCTTGCTATTCCCAGGCAAATCTTACGTCTCGTCGGCCAATCCAAGCTCAGCCTGTATTGTTCGACTGTACCTAATCACAGAAATTGCACATGAGTTCTAACATGAAATAAGTTAAGAGGGGAAACCAGGAAATTAGAAAGTAAGATTACCGAAAAGAGCACGCGCTAGGCAGTTGTTTTCCATGTATTCATAAACAAGCAAGAGCTGGTTTCCTTCTGTACAACAGCCATAAAGCTTGACAAGGTTTGGGTGCTGGAGTGCAGATATCATGCCTATCTCATTCACAAATTCTCGATTCCCTTGTTTAGACCTTGATGATAGCTGTTTGACAGCAATAATGGTGCCATCAGACAACAGACCCTGCCAGCAAAACAAGGATCCATCATAAGAATTGTGTACATTTTTAGATAATGGATATTCATTAATCCGGAAGAATTGTGTACATTGCCTTATCAGACTGCCGAGTTTAAGCATGGAGTCAGTGATGATGGCTGACCTTGTAAACTGAACCAAAACCACCTTCGCCGATCTTGTTGGCCGCATCAAAATTCCTTGTTGCCACTTTGATTTGTCTCAAGGTAAAGGATCCAGTTTGGAGGTCAAAGGCTCTGAGATCTAAAGAGAAAGAGACAGGGATGATTTATCTGTTCCCACATAAATATATAAATGGTTTGCAATGCTAGCCTAACTACTTTAACTGGCAATTGTTTGAGAAATCAAAGCATCCTAGGATGGGTTCGTCTGGTATAGTGTAATCTCTTTTTTTTTTAGATAATGGATTTTCATTAATCCGGCCTCTATATCCACCAAGGATATACACAGCCAAAAGGATACACGAGCACTTAGACTCACACCTCAACAAGGAGAAGAACACACAACCAAAAAAGAAAAGAAAATCAAACGACCTCGACACATGCAATTTAGATTGTTGGATCTATTGCTAGTATTGCTGAACTGTTGGAACAAGAAAGATACTCCAATATGTGGAAGATAGATGCCACTATGTCATTCATGCAAATTGAAATAAATTGAGCAATCAAGCTCTCATGTCACCTTTATGCATTGAGTTCTTTCTCCTCCATTTAATCCAATAAATGCCGACAAAAAGTGCTGCGCACATTGCTAAAATTGGCATGGCAACCAGGAATGCTTTAGATATCCTTGAAAGCTTTTTGCTACCTCCAATTTGCGGTGGTTCAACAGCCAAAGGAACTTCAAAGTCTGAATAAGCATAATCCAAAACCACAAGGTCAGTAAAGAATATAACATTTTTCTTTGAAAATCATTATACAATCAGTCAGAGTTTTGAAGGGCACTGAATGTGTTGTTCAACGCTGTACCATTGCTCATAGTGATTAATGAAACATGTCATTCAAATTCAATAGATTCAAATGTCAAAATGCCATACTTGGTACTACTGATATTGCAGATATCAGAGGACCATAATATCCTCTTTTTGGAATGCCTGTTGTCCCCCTTCCTGCCCAATAGAAATGAATTTCCAGTGTATGATTTGTGACGTTTGCCGTGAAAGTCTTGATAACTGCCTTCGCAGCTCCTCCAGCTGACTGTTCAATGTCAAAGTCCTCTAGAACCATTCTTCCCTGAAATTAGAGAACTCATTACTAGGATGCCAATTAAGACATAAGATTTTGTAGGAAGAGAATAGACCATTCTCTGATTGTACCTGTATAAACACATTGAATCTTCTTTTGCCAAGGCTGCAGTATGTGCTGTCATTTGTGAAAACAATTTCAGCAAAATGAAGCTTAACGGTGTAACTCCCGTTATGCATGCAGAGCCCGTAATATGTCAGTGAAAGAGGTGAAAGGCGTGCTTTTGCATACAACTCCGAGTTGGGCACCGTCAATTTTGATGCGCTTGTCGCAATGTAGCTATCATCATTGATATTATTATCCATGAAGTTCCCAGTGCTGCTAAATGCCCAGTTTGATCCTGGGCTTTGGTACAGCAATGAAGCTCCTTTTGGTTCCACATCAGTTTCATATTTTGTTCCGTTAATAGTTACTTCTTTGTCACCACAATTTATGTTCAATGAATACCTGTCTGTGAAAATTTTATAGAACAACATTAGCTGCAGCTCTAATGGTAAACCAAGAAGGAAATTAACCATATAGATCTCAAAACTAGCACAACTCTGCACAATTTTTTTTCTCGTGGTACTTTCTATATATTTATCCTGGTCATTTTATAGATTCTCCTAGTTTGTTGACAAAGTAACACTGTTCATAAAAATTACAAGCACCCATATGAAACGCGCATCAACAAATCATTCATCGCTTGTTTTCTCTGTAGGCTACAGCAGTGCTTTATGATGTATCATTATTTTAGAGTCGACAGTGAAGCAACACTATCCAAGAACTCACATTTTCCATTAGAAGAACCGCATGGAAAATTCCTCTTTAAGCATGACTCAACATTAGTCCTGCACAGAAGATAGAGGTACCCAGAGTCAAATATGATTTATTATCTCTTGATTTGTGCATTCGTCTGAAACTTTATAATCTCTTGAAGCAGTGAACAAAATAATCTTACAAACTGCTCATTTCAGGTGAATAGCTCTCCACCATATTGCTGCAATTAAGAGTTACAAGAGAAGAATTAAGCATTTCTGTAAGTGTTTTGCATGAGTCCAGGAATTGTGCTAAAAGCGTTCTTACACACTCCCTGGAACGCATTGGGTAGGACCTGAACTCCCCATCGTGAAGTTGTTAAAAGATATGTCCCTGCATTTAATTAGTTGCTATTATACTTGATCAAACCAAGTGATACATTTTACTGTTTAAATTGAATAGCAACATTTTTTTTCTTTATGAGGTGAAAATTAAATACCATTGTCACAAGCATGTTGAGCAAAGAGCACATAAGAAATGCTAATGGGGTGTGTTTACAAGTCAAGAAAGACCACCTCATTAGCTTTCTAATACAATGCATGATCATGACTTTAGCATTGGAAATGTTAGAGCTTATTTGTAAATTGAACTAATGTTTTCTAAAATTGTAAACGAGAAAAATATATGACAAATTATAATGTATCTATGGATTCATGAATCCAATACTGATGACATATTGATGCCTTCTGAGGGTGCATATACAAAATAACTTACGCAATCTTGTTTCTCTTCAATATCCAATCAGGTATACTCCCAGTGAGTGAATTTCCTGTTAGGTATCTGCAGGCCAATTTTGGTTGAGATGCATCGGATTTCCAGATAGATATTAGTAGGCCAATTTCGGTCAAAGATTATGCAATAAAATAGCTTATTAAATGGTACATTTGGTTGAGTTTTTTTTTCTTAAATATTGCAACTTACATGTGATCTACATGTCCCATGTTAGCAAATGAAGCTGGTATTTCTCCAGTCAGTTTATTAAAAGACAGATCCCTGCACAAAAACAACATTTACGACTAAATATGTGAGGAACATATATATTGTGCAAGACACATCCAACTTGTGTATCAAGTATAAACATAGCCAACACGACATACAAAACTTTGCGCTGACATAATAATTTTGTGATTTATGCAATTGATGGTACATGTACTTTACAATAACATGCTGCATTCCTCTATCGAATTCACATGATGCAAACTGGTAAAAAGACCCGCAGATTTCTGAAGGGACCAATGAATAAAACTGGGGCAATATATCTTGTTCATAACTGATAATAACTGGATCAAGAAAATTATAATATTAAACTTACAGATGCTTAAGATTATCCATGTTCCCAATGTAAGATGGTATGCTTCCATTGATGGAGCAATTCCGTAGTATGCTGCATTCAAATAAAGTTCACATTATATAAACCCCCTATAAAATATAAACAAGAAAAATCACAATCATACATTGTTTTCATGGACACCAATTCCCTTAAGTCCGGGAAAACTGATCCTCTACCTCTCAGATCACTAATCCTCCTGGTTAGCACACAAAGGAAACCAAGCTTTAGTGAGAATTTATACCCATAACATCAAGTGGGTTGAATAATTATAATTTCAAACATTAGCGCTGACATACAGATCATAAAGGTTTATCAATTTGGAAAATTCTGAGGGAATAGGCCCTTCCAATAAAGATCCTTCAATTTGCCTGCACGGTTACACGAAAAAAAGATGTTACTAAACTAAATAATAGAGTGAATCCGTAATGATATTAAATTAAATAATGCAGGGGATTCATAACTCCTTTAACCATAAATTTACGGACTCACAATTTTCCGAGCTTTTTCAACTTCCCCAAGAAAACAGGCACTCTTCCAGAAAAATTGTTACCAGAAATCCTTCTATCATCAATTTCAGTAGTTGAAACATCACAAAAATAGAATCCACAGAATGGAACAGCACAAAATAAATCGATAGAGTTATCTTACAGGTCGGTTAAATTTGTTAACCTAGCAAGAGCAGCAGGAAGGGGTCCGGAGAACTCATTGGCCGATAATATTCTGAGTTTCAAGATCAGTTTAAAAGCCATAAGGAACTCCTTTGCCAATTCCACCAGCAATCATGTCTTCCATATTTTTACCTATAATATAAACAACAAAATACTCACAACTTCTCCATTTGCATGAGATGTCCAATGTCGGACGGGATTGGGCCATAAAAATTGTTTCCTTCTATACTCCTGCAGATTATGACTTTGCGAATTAAAATTATAAAAGAAAAACTCAAATTAGTGAACATAAATTATTTTCATCAAACTTTTTGCTTACAGGTTAGTCAGGGTTGTGATCTTTGTAAGAGCAATGGGAAAAGGCCCTGACAAATTGTTTCCCATTAATGACCTGCAAGTTTCAATATAAGGTCAATAAATGTGTTCCACATTTTTGTTTATAATATCACTATCTTATTTCTTTTCCCATCATACAAATTTTCATCTTACCCATGCAGCTACAGATAATTAGTCAGTAAGAAGCAATGTACTTTTACTTTTACTTGACAAAATCTATGCACATTATTACATATTCACAAGGTTCTTTGGTCAGTCGAGAATAAATGGCATGACAGTGCGGAATTTTGCTGACCGCAAAAGGAGGGGAAGAGCTTACAGGATGATATAATCTTGCTAAGATGCAATTTTAGTGTGTACAATTCAATTTCGTGATAGTTGAAAAAGGTTGGCAGAATTGTACAAAGGACGACCGACATTGATGTTTGCTTGTTCATATATGACAAAATGTACCTAATCTACCACACAATATAAAATGTGCTTTGTTAGCCTAATTTGTTGCTACCTAAGATGCTTTACTTCCCAGCACTCCAGTCCATGTAGACATTGACTGTTCCTTCACAAATTGCAAAAAATGAAAAGTACTCTACAGTGGACCTATCTGACTATCTCTTACACCCATTTCCTCTCATATAGTTCACATGCTACATTTGTTTGTATCTCACAAGACAATACACAATAGTGAGGCAATCAAGTGGAAGGTTAGGTCACTCACAGTCCCTGTAGCTTCATTCGGGCCCACTGGTCAGGCACTCCACCATGCAATAAGCTTCTGCTTAGATCTCTGAATCGTGCAAATATGGATCATGATGTTATAATTCTTTTTTTTTTTGAAGCAATAGGACGGCATGAGACATGCCGGTTATATTAGAAACAGTAAAAGAGCCTAAATACATGATGTTATAATTCTCTTAACAGCTTAAGTTTATGGCACAGATTGGTTGCATTGGTTGTTTAGCACTTACAGTTGGAGGAGATTGGGGAATTCGGCGAAGTCCGGTGGGAGCTCACCAGTGAAGTTTTGCCCTTCCAGTGTTCTGCAAAAGTTGATCCAGATGACAGTTAATACAGCACAAAATGTGGCATAATCTGCTCCTCTCCAATCAAGTGTGATTATATGTTCCTAGAGCTTCATCAGAAGGCCAAATCTCCAGTGAAGCAATATCAACTACTAAAGAAATTAGAAATGTGGCAAGTGTCCAAGAGTTACTGCATACATGTTAGTAACATGGCAGAATGTATGGTTGTAGAAGGAGCAGTCACAATTCACAGTGCCCCCAAAGCCACCGTTACCGCCGGAGTTGCATGGATCAACGGAGAAGTTCCAACGCAAGATCCCCATCTTCTGCGCGATACGACGAAGAGTACGCACTGAAAAAGAAAAAATCAACCTCATATTTTCCAAGAACTGAATAGCATGTAAAGATCAAAGAGTCAGGTGACCAAAAAGAGTTTCTAGTAACAGAACAATCTTTGCAGGAGCAAGCACATGTTGGTCATTTTCCTCACATTTCCATTACATGTTTTGATCTCAAACTCTTCACATGCACATGCTGACATGCATATGAATAAGCAGGCAAAAAACAGAGCACATTGCTCTTAGCTTGAGGTTTGTGCATTCCATTGTGAAGATATCAAACATCTCATTATCTGGTACTTATTAGTAGGTTCTTGCTTATTTCTGGAACTAAATGTGAGTACTGGTCCCTTCTTGCAGCAGTACTTATCAAGCACAGGACTCCCAGGCAAAGGAGGTCCAAGAAGAACATGAAGAAAGTACAGCAAGAAATCAAGAGAAGAATGCTTCCAAGAAAAAAAAAAAGTACAGCCAAGGAGGCTCAGTGCTCACCACAGGCAACTCTCTCTCTCTCTCTCTCTCTCTCTCTCTCTCTCTAAACCATTGAACTAAACACAAGTGAGAGAACCAAAGCATCAGGCCACAGAGAACAATTTAGGGGAGCTGCAGAGAGTGTAGCATAAGGCATACCTTCAGCTGGGAGGAGCCTAGGGAGGGAAGCTGTTCTAGCCCCTGAGCCATGATGGACCTCACCAAGAAGAAGAAGAAGAAGACCAAGAACCACCAAGAACAGCTGCCCCCGACCACATGGCACCAACCTCCATGGCATCCTCCTCTCTCTTTCTCTCTCCCTCTCAACTGAACTCAACTCTCCAAGTGGAAGGCAATGCAGTGTGAGACTGCCAAAGTAGTGAATGACTTGGCTTTCTAGGCAAAGGAACCTCTGTCCCTCTCTCTCACACTATTTATTTCTTCCCCTTTTCTTTTGACTGAAAAACTTTATTTATCTCTTTTCAGGAATGTGTCTTTAAATATACTCCCTCATTCCCTAAATGTTTGACGCTGTTAATTTTTTTAAACATATTTGACCATTCGTCTTATTCAAAAACTTTTGTGAAATATGTAAAATTATATGTATACATAGAAGTATATTTAACAATGAATCAAATGATAGAAAAAGAATTAATAATTACTTAGATTTTTTGAATAAGACGAACGGTCAAACATGTTTAAAAAAATCAACGGTGTCAAATATTTAGAGATGGAGGGAGTATTTTTTTTAGGGGAGGTCTTCCTCCGCCATGATTGGGGCTTCTTGTTCTTGACTTCTTGTGTGATGCTGCATGAAGTGCCTCGTAGCTGTAGGTAGGAATGAAAATGGTCGGGGACGATGAGAATTGGTAACATCTCTTCCATCCTCGATTGGTCGTGAATTGACCGTATTTATCAGTTTAACTGTTTGAGCCATAAGTGCGCACTGGGACGCCGTTTGTGTGGTGGTTTGGATGCAGAGCTGCAGATGCAGTGTGCAGACTGCAGCCGCGTGAACTGAGAAAGGCCAAAGGAGACAGACAGAGCAGAAACGCGCAAGAATCATGGCCATTTACGACCTAATGTCAGGTCATTGTAAGTTTCTTTTGTGCATCACTGTGGTTTCTTTTGTGCAATGCTAGGCTATTTCTAGCTGTTGGGGGTTTTTGTGTGCTGCTACAAATGGTTCTTTTGTGAAAGCAACTTTTGAGACAAACCTACTGTTTTCATTATGTGAGTATAGATATTTTACAAAATAGTGATATATAAAACTGTCTAACGCGGGCGAAACTGAGAAATAACCGTGACCGGAGGGAGTAACATTGAAGAGAATAGAGAGACGCTGGAACATGTGGACTTACATATAACAACATCGTTACAGAGAAAACATGGTGAAAGCCACGTATATCAACTGTTTCATCACGTTAACGGTGAGCTAATCAAAGTTGTGCTTAATTGTTTGATGAATTAACCTTGTGTAGTTATTGTTATAAAAAATCTCAAATAAAGGAACATCATCATTATTTTTCATACCGTTTGAGATGTCACTGCTATAGATTATCACTTATTTCTCTTTTATTATTATTAAATTGAACACAAATGCAATAAAATTACAACTTTCGATCCACGCATTATGTCATAATACGTCAATATCCAGTACTGATGTATTTGGGTCGTCCAATTATGTGTGCAAACTTGCCCTACACATCTCTATCTGCGTTGATTGTTTTCTTTTATTATAAAAGAATTGTATGTGTCCCTTATATTAACAACTGCATCATCTTAAAATCTATGAATTTATGATATTTTTCACAAATAAAATCACGAAAGCAACCGCATTAATAGTACCATAATGTTAACCATTTACACGTATATTACATTAAAAAAATCATGATCAAGTTTGTACCTTTGAAAGTCTTATCAATGTTCAACACCGTAAGTCATCGTGACCAAAACATACCCCCTCCGTTGTTATACTCCCTCTATCCAAAAAAGAATCAACCTAGTAACAGTTAGTATTGACTATTACTATTTCAACACTGAATACTAATAATTCTTCATCTTTAGGTTGAGTTTTTTAGTTGAGATTGGGAACTATCCTCTTGCGCACATAAAATGAAGCAATTCATTAGTGTATGATTAATTAAGTATTAGTTTTTTTAAAAAATTAATTAATATGATTTTTTAAACAACTTTTGTATAGAAAATATTTGTAAAAAATACATCGTTTAGCGGTTTAGAAAGCGTACGCGCGGAAAACAAGATATGCGAGTTGGAAAAGTGAGTAAACGAGCTCAGCCATAGAAGACAATAAACTTTAATAGCAATACTTTTTTAAAGTATTTGTAAGGGTCTTATATTTATATTTTCGCTTATGCTTTTGCTTGTCAGTTAAAATTTGAAATTTTAATTTAAAGTTGATTTTGAGGTTTTTCATCGAAATTTATTTTTTAACCTTTACTTTTAAATCGCTAAAAACACGTATATAAAAGTTTTATTCACAATTTATTTTTCGTTTGCAAATATGCCATTTCGAAACGATGGCTCCGTAAGCTTTTTTTTGGAAAAAAAATAGAAGTGTTATCGAAATTTGAAAATAAATAATCGGGTGTCAGTTTTTCAAGGGTCAGTTATTATTTAAAAACAAAACAATTATGAAACTTTTTGTTGACACAAAACAATTATGAAACTTGAGGGTGTAATTAGTTGCGAAAGCGAAATGAAAACAGAGTAACCGGTGGCATACAAATGATGTCGCACACGTCGTAGATATGCTGACTGGATTTTGCCAGCCTGGCTGGCTGCTGACCATTCTCACTCTCCTAGTCTCCTAGTGGTGTCGGGTCCAAGTCAACATTTTGACTGTCCACGTCAACAGTGGGACCCACCTGCTCAGCCGCCGTCGTGTATGTGTGTGTGTACGGTGTACCTACCCTACCCATGGGCCAGATAGTCCATCGATCGGCACGTCACTCTCTTGCCATATGCTGGGCAATAAAATCATGATAGAAAACTGACAGTTATTAGTAGAAGAAGAATTATGATCACCTTTCGTTATCTGAAAAATTCTGAATCGAGGATAATGTGTGATTTGCAAGGCCCTGGTCTTTCTGAAATGGCCATCGATTTGACACTGGGATAACAGTGATGTTTTCTGAAGCGAAGAAAATGTGTGAATTAGATTGGTCTTAATTATTTATTAGTGGCCATTAGTTTGACCAGAAGCAGGACCATTTGGGATAATAGAAACCTGGAAAAGCGGTTTAAAAAAATTAGAAACCGGGAAAAGTTGGTAAAGAGAGGCTCCTTTGGAAACGCAGAAAAATTCATGCAGTTTTCGCAGTTGTTTATGTAGTAAGGCCCTGTTTAGCTACTTTAAAATAGCAAAAGTTTTATTGTTTTGGAACACCTTTTTGCTAAAATGAATCTAAACATTAGTAGTATAAGTTAGCAATTTGACATTTGGTATTTGGAAGTAGCAAATTTTGCCAAAAAAAAGCATTGGGAGCTGTGCTTTTTCTGTCTTTACTAGTAAAATGGAAAAACTTTACCATGTATCTAAACACTAACTAGCAAAACTTTAATGCCAAATCTTTTGCCAAAAAAATTTGCCATAGCAAATTGATCTAAACAGGCGTGATAAGTTGTGTGTTTTAGATGGAAATTGAAAAAAAAATTGTGTTTTGAGAAAGTTTTGAGCATGTGTTGGATGCCAAGCGAAAATAAGTAGAAAAATGCTGGACTGGATCAGTGTGTCACAAACACACCGTTTCTACATTCTCCTAGGAAGAACATTGGAATGGGTCAGTGGTCAAAAGAAATTAAGCTCCTCTGAATAATGTAGGCAGGGCTTGTGAGATTAGCTAGGAAGCTGAAAAATATCTCTTCACACAGTGGTGGTCCTTTGATTGTCAACCCAATAGTCCAATACAGTAGCCTCTGACTATGTGCACAATTCGATCTGTTCGTATCCAAGCAAATTCGAAACTGAATTTCGACTGAGCTTATAAGCCACACACACATGATTAGTTAACTTCTGAACTTCGAATCTGGCCATCATATATTCAACTGAGCTGAGCTTATAAGCTGAATCACTAACACATGATTAAGTAGTAGATATTACAAACTTGAAAAATATATATATTCAACTTTTGAAAGAACCCAAAAAAAGAACTTTTGAAAGAAATTCTTATATAAAGCATTTTTCTAAAAGAAAATTATACCATTTAATAGTTTAGAAAACATATTTACGGTAAATAAGGAAGTAGTTCCGCAGTAAGCCCAAAACAACGCAGTCAGAATCTGGCCATGATAAGATGGTACATTCTCCGTTTCACAATATAAAACTTTCTAGCATTGCCCATATTTATATACAAGTTAATGAATCTAGACACATATATGCCTGTCGAAACATGAATTCGGCAATAATAAAAGGAGGTAGCGCACGAGACCTAAAAGTGGATGGATGCGGAGATAAAAGATTTAGACAGGTTCAGGCCCTCTCAATGAGAGGTAATACCCTACTCCTGTTTGCGGATTTAAATCCGCCGGGTAAATTATAAATCTGACGATCTAGTTGTCTCATGCCCCCTAGAGGGCCTCCTGCCCACCTTATATATGATGGGGGGCAGGATTACAAGATAGAAACCTTATCCAATACGGTATCGGTTTCCTAAATCTACTTTACAATCTTATCAAACCAGGACTTTAGGCCGTTCCGTAATATACAAGGAAACGTAATACCCAAGTCATAATCTGTTACATATTCCATATATATAAGTTATCCCCTATAACTAGTCGGATAACCATGCCGTGTGGGTATGGGGTACCCATAATCTCCACAGTAGCCCCTGAGACCTTCACAGTCGAAAAGATAATCTTCTCTCGAACTAGATTACTCCAAATCCGAGTGCTTCAATCATCTTTGCCATGGTCTCCCGAGTACTTTTATCAAATCTGAAGACTGTGGAGGGCTGAAAAATAAAGTCAGGTGCATCGACTAGATGCACCTAACAGGTGTAGCCCTCGACTATATGGTTAATTGAACAAACCAAGCATATAGTCAAGGAATAAATAATCCAACCAACCGAGTGGCTTCGATAATTATAGTCAACCGAGCGACTTGATATTAATATGTAGCATATGCGGTGTGAATCCCTGAATAACATGATCCGAGTGATATACCGACTGCTTTGTAAAATATGATGTAACCTAAAGTTGGCTACATCATTGAAAATTCACATAGCAAAACAGCTATAAAGAAGCTTGTATGTTGTGAATAAAGAAATTTCCAAAGTATTGGGCATACGTCATACGCACACTGTTTTAACATATGTGCTTAAGTCCCTAGAAGATACATGGTTCTACCACACCTAGAAATATATGGCATATGTGGTATAAAATCCGA